GAAACCCGTCACAAAACTGCCTTTGATGCTTAGGCGCGGCTTTCTCTATTGCGCCAAAACACTTTTGCACAATTTTAACTTTTTTACTCTAAATTTGATCATTTTTCACTCATTTTAGCATTTTTCATCTTTTTACTTGTATTTAAAAGAAAAACACACAAATACCTTCCATTAAAGTGCAATATCTCAAAAATAGGCATAAAAATGTGTCTAAAAATACTATATATTTTAGTTGTATCAAGAAGTCACAGACTTATGGAAGTAGCTTGAGGAAAGGAGGATGTAGGAAGAATTCCTCAAAGAGCTTAAGCAAATGCCATAGTACAAGGAATTGAAGGTGGATCATTATGACAGGCCAATTAAGTTTTTCCTTCAGTATTCTGGTACAAAACGAATCATGTCTCCATCTTGAAATGACTTAGATTGTTATATGGAGCTTGTTGGGCAGCTCTATGACGAGGAAGACTAGCAAGAAGAGCCTTTTACAAATGCTTGAGTGTCACTCTTTTTTTTTTCTCTATATTTGTGTACATAAGGATATATATATTTTTTATTTAAACTTTTGAAAGCAATTTACCTTATTAGTATTTTTTGTATGGCTTTGAATATGTCATATTTTCTGTCTTTATTATGTGTGATTAATCACAACAATTTGTGTGAATTATTAACATGAATGCTTTGGTTTCAGTCATATACTTTTTATCAATCCAGTATAAATAATAACTTCTAGTTAAGTCATTGTCTCGGGTAAGTCACGTTGAGGCTTACAGGTAGACCTTGTCACTATTGTCAGTAAACTCCATTTGGCTCAAATTAATTAAAAAATAAAAAATAATAGTATACTATTTATAAATTAAAATTTTATATTGTATTAATAATTTTAGCCATGACTGCAAAATAAAAATAAAATTTATGTTTTAGATATAGAAATACATAAAACTCGTGTGGCATGTATTTATATGCCCCTAAAATAACTCTGCTCTCGCCCTCCCTTCCCTTCACAAAAAAATTGCGACTTATTCTTATATATTTAAAAATCCAAAAAAAATTTCCGGTGGGAGGGAAGTGTGTAATATTATTAGGGCGTATCTTTATAAACTATGCTCTCCAAATCATTACACTCCAAACTAGGAGTATGACCATCATCATCATACCTCATTAAATTATTATGTATGAACAAGTGTACATTGTAATAATAATTTTTATTTAATATTAAAAATTTGAATGATATGCTTAAAAATATGAAAATTTAAATGTTGCACACCCAAATACGTAAGAATTGTGGTTATTATGTAAATGTGAATGTAGATAAATATGTAAAAGTTGTCGTTGAAATATTTGTTTCCCACCACTCTTGGTTAGGTGCGGTGACAATTTTTTAACTATAATCTGACTTAAAAAAATTATAATAATTAATATAATTTTTTGAGCATCAAATTATTATTCGGAAGCTTATTTTAGCTAGGCCAAAATCACTTATGAATAAAGATTAAAAGTTACCCCTCAGCCGGGTCTGTCACGTGCTCTTTTTTAATTGGACGGTGCAAGTTGCCACATCAGCGCCAATCAGAAAAAAAACCACGTCATTATTTTGTTATTTTTAATGACTAAAACAGAAATAATTATCTTCCTTTATTTCCGCCGTCGTTCCATCCCAAAACGTTCCATTTCCACACCATTCATTCATTCCTTCTCCCTTCGCAATTCAGATGTCGATTCCATCGATCGCGTTAGCTTTCCTCTTCGCCGCTGCGGCGGTGGCCGCGACCGCAGACGCGGCTGCATTCAACGTGTCGGAAATCACTTTCGACGACGGATACCTGCCGCTGTTCGGCGAGCGCAACCTTCTGCGGTCTCCAGACGGACGGAGTGTCAAGATTCTCCTTAACCAGCGTTCAGGTAAGAGATTGCCACGGTTTGTTCAGCGAATGTCGTAACTGTGTTTGATTGAGCGTTTTGGCAATGCAGGATCGGGATTCATTTCGTCGGATTTGTATTACCACGGTTTGTTCAGCGCGTCAATTAAGCTGCCGTCTGATTACACGGCCGGCGTCGTGGTCGCGTTCTACGTGTGTTTTCTTTATTTTTTCGGGAAAATATATGCTTACGTCAACGTGTTATTCAGAGGGTACACGAAAATTATATCCGCGTTATACCCCTGCAACGTCCATGTAACTTATGTGTAACCTACAAATGGTATAATGCGGATATAACCCCCTGTACCCTCTGAATAACTTTCAGCGTACGCAGCGCTGCGTACGTCTTAGATACGCAAATATTTTCCTTTTTTTGGGCTAAATTTTATTTA